AGGGGGAAAAGCATTAAAACTTTAAAGAGTGACAAAGTTTTAGCGAGATTACTGGAAAAGTCCAATGAAATGTTCGAGGAGATCATTATACAAAGAGAGAGCAAGGAGGAGCCGAAAAACTTACACACTGAAGTCTTCTGGTTGTTGTCCTTGCTGGGCATCAGCTTCACCCCTCTGGATTTCAGCTCCATTTGCTTCTTGACTGCAGAGACAGATTGAAAAGAAGGACAAGATTTAGCTAAGCTTTAGGGATTATTTAAAAATAAAATGAAGTGGTATTCGCACATCATCCCCACTGAAGGATACCCTGCATCCTTCCATTACAGCTCCAACAAATCCTGACCCCCAAAACCAGGAGGGTCCCTGCTCCCTCACCTCAGGTCTGGGGGATCTGAGCCACGGGGACTCAACTGGGACAGAAAAATGGGGCACAAAAGCCCATCCTTCTGCAATGGTGCAATTTGGCTTATTATCCTAAAAATGGGACACAGACAAAAGGGAAACTCTAAGAAACTCCAGCGATGGTGAGAGCAAAACGCTGAGTTCGGATCACCCAGTTTAACCGATGCAGTTATTCCATGAATGCATCGATTACACTGGAAAGCCTCGCAATACAGCACTCAAACGAACACCCCATAACCTAAAATCTGTACGTGTGATCTGCAGAAACACTAGACTCAAAAAGGCAGTGAAATAGCAGGAAAAAGGGTCGTATTAAAACCATGCTACTGGCAAAGAGAAGTATAAATTTGCAGACCCACTATTATAAATATAATATAAAAGCTGCACGGCGCTCGTTTCAGAGCTCCTGCTGTGACCATTCACCTCCCAACCTAAAACCAGCCAGAAAATGAGAGAACAGGAGGGCAGCACCAGGATTTCCATCCACCCATCCCTGGCCGAGAGCCCCATATCCTCCTCGCAATATGAAAAACCCCACAACGGAGCAGCAATTTGTTTTCATGGCCTGGACCCGGCCGCTGCCGCCGCACCAGGAGGGCTCTGCACAAACCCAGGCTCCCAGCACCATCTGGACGCTGGTGGAGACTGCGTTTTCCTGCGGCGCACGGGGGTATTTGTGACTAACGCACAGGCGAGTTTTTACTGGCACATCTGAAGTTAATGTGGTTAAGGAATAACTTCACAGCAGAAAGCGCCACGTCCAAATCACTTTACAGGATCCTTTTTCTGAAGAGCCAGCCCTTATCTATGGAGAGAATCAGTCCATCTTCCACTTCAAACTGCTCTTTTTCTCGCTCTTTATCTTGTCATCCTTTCATCCCTAAATTAGCACATTTCTGAGACAAAGCTGTCAGGAGAAATTACCGATATAACTAACAAGGTTTTTTTAATCATGCTTTTTTGGGGTTTAAAAAAAAATAATTCTGTTTATAACATCTGCTTGCAGGAGCTTCAGACAGGAGATGTCAAGCATCGTTCCTTGAAGTTTACCTAAGGTAGAGCTTTTCAGAGCTGGATGCTACCTCGGAGCTTTTTGTTCATCGTTTGGTTACAGCTTTTTGCTTTCTCTTTAAATAAAGCAGCCATCAAACTGAGAGGCGCATTAGCTTAAAAAAATATTCATGAAGAAAAGCTTATGTTGTCCTTGTCTTTCTAACCAGTATTAAGTGTCTTTAATCTGTTGAGGGGGTTTTGCATTGGTGGTTTTTTTTAAGAGGGGAAAAATAATTAACAGTATGCAGCTTTCAAAGCCGACCTAACACAGATTTGTTTCTTTCTCGCTTTAATCCGCCTCCAAAACGCTGCATGGGGAGGGGGAAGAGCTCACAGGGTCCCTCTTAAAGCCTGTTCCCAGTTAAGGCAGGGGGTCACATTGATGGTAATGTTTTGGGTGAAGCCCCTGGCCCCTGCACCCCCAGCCCCACAGCGGGGAAAGCTCAAACTGTAACGGGGATGAAGGGCTGAGGAGGTCCCTGCTCCGCTCCCCCTCCACAAACGCTGCAGTTAATGACCATTAACTGACACAGGGACCACCCTGCGGCCACAGCCAAAACTCCCCTCCCAGTCAATAAAACACAGCCAAGCCCGAGCATCCGAGGCTGAACCTGCGCCGCTGCAAGGATGCACGGCAGCTCATGACTTTGCAGTATCTAAATTCATCGCTCTGTAAAGTGCTTTGGGGCACCGGCAGGAAGAGAGCAGCTTTATAAAAATCATTTCCATTTTTATATTCTCCGCAACTTCCCTTCCTAGCTACCTGATACGATTACCAGCGAATCTTCCTCCCGGCCACATGGGGAAAAAGCACAGGTCTGCTGATTTCTGCACGATAAAGGAAGCCTGGATCCCGCAGGGCTGCTCCACAGCCGCGGGTCCAGCAGGAGGACACAGGGGATGGAGACTTCACCGCTTCGCCACATCCACTGCCAGTTTTTAAAAGGATGCACTAAATGACAAAGGCTCACCCGTATTAATTGCAGAACCCAGCCAACAGACACAGCCCCACTCCAAATTTGTGACTAATGGGAAGCCAAGCTCCGGTAATGAAAACAAGCAGCAGAAAGCAGACAGTCATTACCGAGGGCCAATCCTGAAATACGGAGACTAAACTGCATTATCCATAAAGTATACACTCCCCTAATTGCATCGTGTCTCTTCCCACAATAATTGATAAAGAGAGATCACTACAACGCTCTCCTCTTAATCTCTCATTTCGTTTGCAACACGGAGACGGAACGATGGAAGTCAGGCTTTATAAATTACTCTGCATTAGTACAAGTCACAACACGGCACCACTCGCTTCATAAAAAAAAATAAACAAGAGCAATTCTCCTGCTCGATATGCCCTCAAAAATCCAGTATATGAAGATCCATTTTGTTTATCAATTTGGATGTGGAACGGGACTACAAAGGCCCGTGTCGGGATAATTGGATGAACAGAAATTTCCCTGTTTTGCGCAAGGTTCTGCTGCTCGCACGAATCCGACAGATCTAATGGCACACGCAGTGTCCTGTCAGCGCGGAGAGATGACATTACAAAGGTTTGCCAGCAAGCAGGCGGGCTGGGGTGTTGCTCATAAACCGTTTCATGTTGCTCTAAACGAGAATTTAAGGAGACATTTATTTATTTTTAATTTGGGAAAACAGCGCTTCAGCAAAAACCCTCTCCATGGAGCTCTGCTCCCCTTGCTGGGGAGCTGCTACTGAGCACGAAGCCCCAAGCCCTGTTCCTTTGTAGCTACTACGGCAGCTGCTTACGGGGCTTGGAGGGGAAGAGAAACACCCCAAAATGCACCGTTTTGGCACCCCTCATTTCTGAGGAATGGAGGCTGATGGAGTGGGGGGAAGAAAAAGAAGATCACTGCACTGATTTCTCTATAGTCCCTTTTATTTGCTTTTATAGGTGTGGGGGAAAAGTATTTGCAAGAATGCAAGATTTACCTGATGTAAAAGGGAAAAAGGAAAACACATTTTAGCTTTACCCATAAAGGGAAGGAATTTGCTGTATTCAACACAAAGAAAACCTGTGCACAGGCTGATTGTACCTGACCTTGCTCTTGCAGTCATAAAGGGATTCCCAAATGAGGGCATGGATTAGGAAGAGCTGCAATGGAGCACACAGAAGTGTCCTGCTAAAACTATGTACCCATGCTGACCATGGAAATGACTTTCCTATAGATTATCAGCAAAGCCAGGTAATGTCTCAGAGGATGCAGACTGCCAATAAATTACGTGTGTGCATGTCTCCAGAAAACGGACAACAGTTTGGGTCCATCCTAACCCTTTCCTCCTTCTCTTGGACAATCCTGGGGGCTGCTAAAACCACATTTTACCTGCTCTACTTTCTATGACATTACAGACCCTATTTTGTATGTATTTCTTTATTTATCCACATTAAAATACTCAAGTTCAAACAAGGTCACGTTCCTCCGAAAGGGGTTACGCTGACTTATTTTGAAGCTGCGTTGGCACCTTTCCTGTCCTATGGACACCGATCCCATTGACTGCAAAACCCGGCCTCTATCCCTGCGTGGTTTTGCTCTGTTTCTTGTTTTGGTTTGTTTAAGTACTGAAATCTTTCCTAACAGATGGAAGGAACCTGACAAACTCCCCAAAAAGCAGCAAATGTGTGAAAAGGGAGAGCCAGGTTCCCTTTGCCAGCAGCCGCAGGTCCTGCTCCAATGCCCCTTCAAGAGCACATTTTTAAGTTCATCTTTTAAACACTCGATACACAAAAGCACAGCTCATTATACCTAACAAAACAGCTTCCAAGGAGTGTGCCAGATTAGAACCCCCTGACATTTATCTAATCAGAGGAAATTATAACATTAATCTTTACTTTTCTATTTAAGAAAAAAGGATGATTCAGACAGGTGTTTTAATAGAAAGCAGCAATCATGACAGCAAAGGAAAATGTCAGCTCAGAAGCCCTCAGCCGCACGCAGTCATTTGTGTTGCACAGAGAAAAAACAAAGCTCTTTTTTTCCTTAGAATTTAAAGTAATTTATACATTAAAGGAAAGCAATGGAAGGTAAATAACAACGGTGATTCATAAAGCAAAGCCCATGCTGAAGCTGTGACTGTTGCTAAGGCTAAACAAGAGGGCAAGGGTGCAGATTTCTCATGGGAAACTCCTCTCCCTTGCACTTGGCTCCCATTGCTCCAGGGCTATCGTTTTTTGATTAAAAGTCCTGTTTCTTCCTTTCCAGGGAAGCTGAACTGCACCAACCCCAACCTCTGGAGAGCGATCAAGAGTTGGATGTGACTGCTCCCTGCCTGCTCCAGCCTCCAGAGCAACACCACATCACCGCACCGCAAATCCTTGGGAAACGGAGTGAACAGATCCAAGGAACCCACCCAAACCCACCAGTTTTGGTGACCATTTGGTCCCAAAACACTGGGATGCGTTGGATGCATGGGCTGCAGCGAGCCATGGCTGCACACCAAGCTCAGAGCACAACAGGACCTCATCTCTGCTTGGCTCCTGCATCAAAGCATCTCCTCTCTCAGCAGCACCCAAAGGTCCCAGTCCTGGCATCCATCCTCCCAGCATGACCAGCAGCACACACCAGTTTACACCTCATCAGAACGGGCTCAACCGGGTCTCACTGGAGCTGAGCATCAATGCCAGCGTGGTCTCTGTGGGACACCACATCACCCCCAGCCTGGTGGTACCCTGCATCGCCACATCCCAGTACCTGAATAATTGATGTGAACAGGACACAGGAGGATCACCCAGGAATTCAGTTGTAGATTCCCAGGGAAAAAAAAGCCTGGCTAAAGACACAGCGTGAATAGTGAGCCCAGGAGCAAGCATTTACCTTGATACTGAGCACTGAATCCCTTCTGCCTGTGGTTGCCGTCCGACGTGAAGTGAAGCCGCAGCCAATTTTTACTGCTGATAACCGGGGCGGGCAAATTCATTCCAGTGAACCTGCAAGAAACCAACCAATAACACCAACTGTTATCACGATTGTGAACTACACCCCAAGTACCTGTCCCTGCAAGTAATCCTCCTCCTATGTCAACGTGAGAAATCCCAAATGAGGACCAAAGCAAGCCCCCATCCACCCCACGGTGTTTCTCTGCTTGCCTTCCCATCTGACGGTTCCACATCTGGAATTACAGGGGTTTCCAAGGCAAAAGGGGTGCGGGGCTGAGCTGGGTACCCACATCATCTGTGCTACCAGCCAAATTAAAACAGCATGTTTATTTTAACTGAGAAACAGAAAGGATTGCAAGAATGGTTTGCTTTTACTGGAAATAACCAGCAAGAAGCAATGATTTATGATCTGTCCCAACCAGGGGAAGATTTCAGCCATCAAACACGAGGTGGAAAGCTCCACAGCCCATTAGTAGTCCTTCAGCAACCGGTCCCTTCATATCTCTTTATTTTACTTTATTTTTTAAGTATGATGCTGTTTGCTCGATTAAACTGCAGTTTGTAATTCTCGGCTGAGTTGCCACATGCCAAGTGTTGGCCCAAACCAAGGCTACCTAAGGCACAGCACCTCCGAGCTGAGGTCTGTGATGGTGACATGAACCACGGCGAGGAGAACACCACCGCCATGGCAAAAGCTGTTGCAGTATCCTATTATTGTTAATGAATTTAATTTTTTTTATCAGGAACTGTCACTTATTTTAAAATTATTGCCATTCTAATACCCGTGCTTTTTTAGATGGAGGTAAAAAGATCCCGGAAACCTATTCCACTCAGAAGGATATTTCAGATTTTATTACTCAACAGCAGAACTGATAGCCCAGAGATTATTTTAAAGGTCCTTCGCTCAACTATCGCCTCCAAAGGTGAACTCCCCTTTTTGTGAGGCAAACTGCAGGGTGCAGGACGGTGCCTGGCAATGGATTTATCAACGGCAGAGGAACCGCAGCGCAACCCTGCTCCGTGGCAATGAAATCGCGGGGACCATCGGGCCGCATAACTGAAGCACCTCTGCCACCTGCAGTACAGACTTCACAGCCCGTGTCACCTCGCGCCTGCGCTCTGCATAATCACGAACCGTGACTGCAAGCTTTACTTTACGCTGTAAAAATTGTTTCGGGTTGTTCCCGATCGTCTCTCCATCGATTATTTTCATCTTGATTTTGCAGACACTTTGGAAACTCAAGGTGTTACAAGAAGGGGTTCGACGTGGCGTTCTGCCATCCCTGGATAACTCAGAGACAGCTGAACCAATTTAATTGGAAACTTTTGCAAATAACTACGTTCAAACAAACATATTTTGGGCCGAGATCAAACACGGGATGCTCAAAACCAATTCGGAGAAAGTTTCTACGGCTGGTTGTTATGACAACACGTTTAAACTTAATACTCTTAGCCCCAAAGGCTCTTTTATTATTCATTCTGAATCAATAGTCAAACTCCTCATAAATAATCTTTAGGTATGCAGAACCAAGTTTTACTTTCATGACTGCAGAGAGACGAGCAATTCAATTTCCTGATAGAAGAACCAGAGGACAATAAAGTTAACCTGCCTAATGTGGCAGGATTTCACTCCTCTGTTCCCCTGCCCCACTTTTAATACACAAATCCTTGTGAGAAGTGGATTCGGAAGTAAGCTACTTATGCATACACCTCAGTCTGGGTATGAGAATAGGCCACCATTCACATCCAAGGATCCTGTTTACATTAAGTGCTAGAACCCTCCCAGCCAAGTGAATTAACACTTTGGAAATCAATTAGGTAAATTAATGGATCGTGCCTCTTGCTACCTTTGCAATAACGTATAATAAATAATTACTGAAGACAAACGCGGGAATAGAAGAAAATAATCAATCACAACCGCAGCGCTATGAAGAAATACAGCAGATTTAGGGTGAAGGAAAACAGCTCCCTGGATTGCCTGCATGGAAATGTTCATCAGCATCGTACGTCGGCTGCTTCAGACAGTGACAGCTTCTTGAAAGGACTGAACCAACCAAGCAGTCACTCCCAGGTCCTCATTTCACAGCCACCACTGCTCAGCCTGGCAGCACACAAAGAGGCTGCATCCTCCAGGGCTGCAGTCAAACAGATTCCCTTTTCCCTTTTATCTTCCCATCCCTTTCATTTCTGAAGTACAGCAGCTCGCTGTCAGCATCAGGTTGTGGTGTTTGGAGCTGGTTTAGGTCCCTGGACCTGGTCATAGCATCCAACCCTGATTCTGCACTGAAGCAACAGCTCAGAAACCCAAGAAACTTGGAAAAATGGGCATTGCCCAGCACCAGAAGGGATGGGTTGGGGCCAGAAATGTTCTGATGGATAAAAAATAACACAGCTAGAGCTACGCATTTAATGGAAAACATCATGGTCACCTGCAGTTAACTGCTAGCTTTTCATCATAAGGCTCCCACAGGTTTAAAATAATCATTAGGAAGCATTAATGGTTAATTGATAATGGAATATTTAATTACAGATAAACACAGTTGAACTGAAGCAGCTGCGTGGTCCCTGAATGCAAATGCCCTGGCTGCTGCTGCTGCCGAATCTCAAATGAAATGGGAAGGATGCTCAGCATGCGAGAGCCAACAGCAATCACTGAAAACCAGAGAAACTCCCCAAAACTCCTGCAGGAGCCACCACAGCCACAGTGACACGGGGACCACAGCCCCACTTGGAGCCACAGGGACCACGCTGGGTACCCCCAATTTGTGCTGCTCCAGCCACAGCAGCCCCGGATGCTAAGGGCCGTGACGAGCTCTATGTGAGGATGCTGCTGCACCACAACTGCCCAAGGTCACATCATTTGTCTTTATAAACCCAACGCTGCCTTCAAGAAAACAGGAGGAGCCACACTGGAGCTGTGGAAACGCACAGGGCTAATTAAAAGGAGCTGAACCTCCTCTCCACGTTCCCCAGCATATTTGTGTACTACGTTATGTGCTCTGAATCCTCAACACCCACCCTTAGCCCAGTAAATGATTGAATTTCTAATAGTCCAGTGAGTCATGTAAATAAAAGCCCTTCTACTTTGGACCTCTGCCACTGGTTTTCAGTCCTCCAGACTTGTTTTTTATTCAAATAAGTTGATTAGCAATTTGCAAAACTTTTCAAGCCTCTGTATGTCCATTTTCTCCCTCCTCCCCTTTCTTGCTGCCATCACTAGGAGGTATGAATCACTTGATTAAATATTCAGCTTCCTGAATATGGCAACGTGTTAACTAAAATCTAATCCTCTCAAATGACTAAGGAGCAACGCAAGTACTGTTTCTCCAGCGAAATCAATAATCATTACTCACTGATGGGAATTTGGTACCCATTTCGCATTAAGCATCTTTTTAATCAGGAGTCTCTTGAAGAAAAAGATTAATTGAGCTTCAACCCCAAAATTTAATGGCCACAGCTTCGCCTTTTTGAGTCCAGAGGTGACCAGGGAGGATGCTGAGACCAGGAAGGTTGGGCGAGAAAAGGGCTCCATGGCCCGGTGACAAAACCCAAACCTGCTCTAGGGGCAGCTGGGTTATTTTGGGGTTCATTTACAGGAAAATAACCCAACCAACCCCCAACCCTGAACCCAAACCCATGCAGATACCCAGCAGTACCCCCACTAACAGGTACCTGTGGGTCCGCTCTTGCCCAGGCAGAAACCCCAGCAGCGCTGCAGTATCTCCCAACTTCCCACTGAATCTCGCCCTGTCCCCAGGCTCAGATGCTCTGGGGAAACTGCAGCTCTTCAGCACCTGATTTTGTCCCAAACGCTTTCCAATATTGTTCTTAACCAGAGCATTAAGATGTTTTTTTACCTTAAGTAAAACTGAAGCCTCTGTGTTAAGCGCAGCTCCTCCAACTCTTTTATTGCACAAAACAGAAAGGTTAATGGTATTAAAACTCTTTTGAGCAAAAGCAGTGAAGTGTGGTTTTCTCCACTCCACTATTTTCTTTATTTCTTTTCTTGCTCTTGTATTTCACATTGGGTTCAGGCGTTAAATATTTATACCATTCACCCAACCATTCCTCCCTTGGCACAATTAGTATTACTGTACATGGATGGCACTGATTAATCCGCATTCACGCACCGTTATCTATTTACAATCCCAATTCCTGCTTTAATTTGGTTCCACGTGGAAAGGGAAATTAAAAAAAGGGAGGAGGATGGGAAGAAAAAAATCAATAAAACGTCAGAAAGTGAGCTAGAAGCACTGGAATAGTGGAAGGAGATATTTGCAGAGAGAAGATCCAACTCTACCCACCCTGCAGTTTGATTAGCGTGAATTTGACTGCCAAACTTCTTAAAGAACCCAAACACCATGAGCAGTTCACTGTGGACGCTGCACAACCCGAAGTTCACAGCTCAAGGTAAAAACTCCACTTGAAACTGCGTTGTGTCGAGAGCGTTACTCGAGATAAATGGCTTTAAACATGAACTTGAAGGCACACACCAGGACTTAGTCAAACACAGCTTCAACGAGCCCACAGCATTGCATCTTCCTGCAGCCTCGTAACTCCAATGCAGATTTTAGCAGCAACTGAGCTTGATGAGGGGACCACAAACTCCCAATTTGTATGGCCACGACTATGTCGAAGCACAAGCACCTGCAAGAAAACCACAGCACTTGCAATAATACCACAGCACTGCTGTGCTGGTCATGTTTTAATGAAAAATAACTCCAAGATCAGGTTTTTGCTCTGTGCATTGGGCTTCTCAGCTCCCAGCGAGGAGGAGCTTAACACCACCTGGCAGTCGCAGTCAGTGGGAGATTTGAAAAGAGCATTTAACTTCTGGAGCCTTCACAAAACAAGAGAAACATGCCCAAAATGCTGATATTTGGGGCTGCAGGTGCTCGGTTTAACCCAAATTGGTACAGAACAGACACCAGCCCAAGCCCTGGCACCCCCAGGGCTGCTTTGCAGCAGCCTTGGCACAGCCTTCCCTTCCTCCCCATCTTTATTACACTGACAACTCCGAGATTAATTTTCCTTTCAGTACATCCAGGGGA